TGGAAAAGAGCCAAAAGACTGAAGCCAGATAGTTTCCAAATGATATGCCTTGTCCGATATTCAAAACAAAAAGTTTCAACTTTCAAAAAAATTCAGCAACACGTGCACTTTAAAATCACTTCCAAAAGAAACGTTTCCAAATTAGCGGCATTTCGCAGTTTTCCTATGAGAACAAACAGGAACGAAATGGGAACGAAATTTTACTTTTAAGAGTTGCCACATAAACAAAAGTTTCAATTTGAAAAAATATATACATAAACTAACTTTCAGAAAAATTGATCAATGCAAAATTTTTTTCAATAAAACTTATTTAAGTTTATAAAAACACAGTTTTTGGAATGTGTGATAAAAAAAATTTCGGATGTGAGAACCCCAACAATTCGCATGGAATGTCTGCAAGACTTTTTGTGGGAATGGGAAAAGGAACTAAAACCTAATCCCATAGCAGTCTAAAATGTTGGCATGCTGAACAAACGCATAATTGAGAGCCGATTTGTTCTTCATACCTTACATCTTAAAGCCACGCCGGTGGACAAATGAACATGTAAACAGAAATAAGAAAAAACAGAAAGCGGAAAAAAATATTATAACCTTTTAAGCTTTCTAATTCCCGTTTTTTTTTTGTGTGAATTAGGGAGAACGGGGCTCTTTTTCCTTTCCTCCACCTCACACAAACATGAATTTTATAGTTTAACGAGTGGTTTTACAAGGTTAATTATGAAGACAAAATATGTTTGTTATGGCCTAATCAGTCTGCATGTCAATTTTCATGACAATCGGACAAAGTGAACAGTAATTTCAAATTGAAAAATTTGCAGGTGGGGGGAAGGAAAAAGAGCCGAGAACGGTTGGGCTCTTTTTCCTTCAACCCCAGCTGCAATTTTTTACTTGTAAAATATTTTGTTGCATAGTTTCCGATTGTGTAAAAATGGCATCGGCGAACAATCAGGCTATTCTAAAAACATCTTGTCTTCATTTTTATCCTTCTAACACCTTTTTATGACTTGATTAAATTTATGCGTCTATGACGTGGGAAAAAACAACAGGGCCAATACATTTGATCACAATAGTTGAGTTATTGACCATCCAAAATTTGAGGACGTTAAGATAGTTTCTGTTCGCACCATTTGTATTCGAGTGTTTTAATTTTTCTTTTTTTTTGTTTTCCATACAATATCAAGAAGCACAAATAATCATCGGAGTCGGTCGACTGATATATTATATTAAAGCACTTTCTGTCGTGACTCGAACAATATTAAGAACAAAAAATGTTGTTTGAAGTGTTTGAAGTGTATAATTTCGAGCGAATAAAGCGAGCGAGTACGATTAATTATGCTTACTTTAGGCGTTTTAAAATCGTTTAGTTGGGTCAAATTATAATTTTTAACCAAAATTACTTTAGGAGTTTTTACAACGCCATTTAAGGAATCAAAAATTTTAAAAATCAAAAATTAAAAAAAAAAAATTAATATTTGGTTTTTCTAGTCATTTTTGCGCAAAAATTGTCCAATTGTTTATTTTACAAATAATTTTAGTTCAGATGTTTTTATCACACCACGCCCAAAAAACGACACGAATTCGAAAAAAAAAGTTTTTTTTTCAAGACTGGTCAAAATATTTTGTGCTTATCTCAAAAACTGAAACTCAAATGTAATGAGTTAAAAGAAGAGATGTTTTTGAACCAAATATTTTACCTAACATTTGAGAGCATTTAAGAAAATGCAGTCTGTGGGAAATAGACAGGCATGAAGTAAGCAGACAGAGCAAACGGTAGACCAACCTTTCGATTTTGAAAGAAAAGAGTTATTTCTCTCTCTCTCTCCTCTCTCTCTCTCTCTCTCTCTCTCCCTCTCGCTCTCGCTCTCACCCTCGCTCTCGCTCGCTCGCTCGATCTCTCACTCTCTCTCTCTCTCTTCTCGTCTCTGTCTCTTCTTTTCTCTTCTCTTTTCTCTTCGTTTCTCTTCTCTTCTCTTCTCTCTCTCTCTCTCTCTCTCTCTCTCTCTCTCTCTCTTGCAAAATGTACAACGCCTCAGTCGAAGCCCGAATTTTTGTTTTCACCAAGCAACTGCATTGGCTTTGCATCACGCGAGCGAAATTTGTAGTTGACACTTGATGTGCTTATAAAGCAAACTGATAGGCTCGAAAAAAATGTTTACGAAAAGGAAAAGCATCAGTACCCGGCTGTCATACCATCGGTATTCGCAAAAAAAGTATGCAACATCACTGACTTCTTATGACTCTAAAGCGGCCAAAAAATAATTGATGAATTATTAAATGCTGATTGAATTATTCAGTTAATACTAAAAAAAAACTTAATTTCAAAAAATTTCAATTTTTAAAAAACTGAGGCATTTTCCATTTTGCATAATATTAACCATAACCTAATTTTTCCAATACCGATTTTTTTTTCTATCAGCCTTAAAAACGGAATGAGTTCTAAATTTATTGGCTGGATTGGAGGTGGATTCAAACCAGGGGCGGATTTAGGGGGGGCGGGGGGGGCGGACGCCCCCCCCCCTCAGGGATTCGACCCCCTGCCGACCCAAAGGGTCCCCCCTTTGATACTTTTTAAGAAATCCATTTTTGGCCGACCGACCCTTAAAATTTTCTATAGGCGCCTTCGGCGCCAATATATACTAATTTTGAGGGGGGAGCGCGCGCCGAAAAAACGCAATTTTTCGGTCAAAATTTTCCAAAAAGTGCCTAAAAACGCCTTTTTTGACCTGTTTTTTCAAAATTTTGCCTGCGGCGCAAAAAATTTGGCCAAAATAGGGACAAAACCGTGCTTTGGGAGAGCTCGAAAAATCAATTTGGTCGACCTAAAAAAAAAAAAAAGGTCGTCAAAATTTTCAAAATTTTTTTGAAAATCCTAAAATCCGCCCCCCCCCCTCGAGAAAATCCTAGATCCGCCCCTGATTCAAACTAAATGACCACAACGCCTGATCATTTTGAAATACACTTTCAAGAACAAGGGTGTGCATATTGCTAGTCAACGCGGCTCTTTTTCCTTTTCCCCCCCCACCTGCAAAATTTTTAGAGTAATTTTTCTGTTCACATCGTCGGATTGTTACCAAATTTGGCATACGGACTATTTAGGCCCTGACAAACATATTTAGTCTTCATACTCAACCTTGTAAAACCACTCGTTACACCATGAAATCTATACTTATGTGAGGTGGGGAGGAAAAGGAAAAAGAGCCGTCAACGCTTATTAGTTCATTGTCATTGAATTCAACCCCTGTGATATAAACTGTTCAACTTTAACAAGCAGAAATCAAGATTTCATCTCTGCTTGTGCATTTTACGCATTTAACACAAAATTTATTGATACTTTCCATAAAAATCAAAAGAAATCAAAGAGTTTTTTGCAGTGGATCAGATTTGAAAACTCATCTGTAAAAGACAGTTGTTTTTGTTGGTTTTAAAACTAACGGGATGTACAACTATTCAAGTTGTGACACTAGTCCGCACTTTGGACCATAAACAATGAATTATAAGTCTAACATCAGTAAAAACGTCACAAAATGGTTTTTAGATGTTCTATTATCAATAGCAACAAAATTTGAAACTTTTCGCTTTGTGGACTTATCCGCCCATTTGGTATTGAACTGAGTTCCAATTATACAAACAGTTTCTGTCGATAGATTGATGTTGCGTTTTTAGAAGCAAATGTTTTTTAATTTAATTTTTTTCAGATGGTTATAAATGTCGATCTGAATCAATTGCAGACGAATCTCAAATGGGAGTCTTCAGTTTTTGGGTCCAAGTTCTATTTTTACAGCATATACTAAAAAAGAATTCTCAAGTGTTTGCGTAGAATCCGGTCTTTCATACTTCTGTACGCTGATTTTGTTCATTTGTATCGATCTAGTTAATTTGTGGATTCCAATTACCATTTTTGGACTACCACAATTACCAAAACAGTGGATTCCAATTACTGTTTTGCTGAAGTCTAAGCTGTTTTTGATTCCGGAATAGAATTTTTGGCGACATAACAGCTTCATATTAAAATGACTCCTTCGTGTAAGAACATGAAAAAAACATCAGTTCAAAAGAAAAATAATACAGTTAAATAACTTCATATCGAAAAGTCAAGGAAATAAATAGTTTCATTTTAAAATGGCTCTTTTTTGTATAAAAAACTTGCAAGAACAACATTCAGTTGAAATGATAAATTTTACAAATGTGTGTGCTGAGGTTTCGACTATTTGAAGCGGCTTCTCCCAAGTGGCGGTGAACGGCATTAAGCACAACGGCATCCAATCTAGTGCTTCGCGCGACTCGTTGATTCAAGAATCGACAACTAGAAGACATGAAATTAGATTCAAAAAACATAAATTTAAAGAAATTTTCAATAACGTAAAACCCGATATGACATTTGCAGTCAATATTTCTGCAAAACATTATCGAAAACAAAGTAACAAAATTTGGTAAAGGAGCAGCCGAATATATCAAATAAGTTGGAACCAAAGAAGTTTGTGCATTTTGATAGATTGACTGAAGACAACGAAAAATCATCCAGATGGGAAAAAAGAATGGTGTATTATAAACAATTGTTGTTCATAATACAGAGGTTAACATAAAAAGTCATGGGACGTTTTGACCAGACTCGCATGGAACCACAGGCTCTGATCATGGATCTAACTGGAACATGGGGAATAGAGAAAAATGCTCAATCTTGGCCAAAAAAAACGAAAAACTAAAAAAAAAATCTTTCAGACCAAAGTGGTTGTTCTACCAGAAGATATGCTAAATTGAATGAAAATTACTGCTTGAAAAGGTCCTTAGGATAAAATTATCTGAAGATATATCAAATTGACCAATTAGTTGAATTCTTATCCAGAAATGAAGCCGATAGCAACTGACAAACACTCTGAACCTGCTAGTTGTAACCGCCAAGAGACAGTTACAGAAAAAAAACGAGGATAGCTTGTTGCTGTGTAAGTAGCTCAGAATGTTCCGACCATATTCATAAAAATTACAATTAAAAGAGTTCTTCAATTTAATAAGTTCTCCAAATTAGTGCCATTTTTTGTGCGTGGTGTGATGAGATAACTATACAGGTAAAAGTATAAAAAGTTAACAAATTAAGCATTAACGACAAGTTTTCTTCAAAAAAAGAAAAAATTTTAGAAAAAATCAAAAAAAAAATTCGCAAATTAAAAAAATATTTTTTTTTAAAGAAGTTTTGTCAGAAAGTGCCAAATAAATATTTCAAAATTATTTTTCATTTGGAGACATCAAGTTTTTTTTAGTCTAAATGGCCAATTTAACAAGTTATCACTACTTTATTCGTTCGCTTTATTCGGTCGAAATTAGACGAAAAATCAAAACCGGTTTTTCTCGACACAGCTAAAAGTTTTTCAATCATGGCTTCAAGACCAAACACACCGTTTCGAGCTTATTTCTGAATGATCAAAACTTTACAGAGCTGTAATGCCATAGCCAAAGACAAAAAATTTGTACACGGGGAACTTTCAATGCAGTAAGCAAATCTATTCCTTCCGTCAAAATAAATTAAACTTTCTCTCAAGGCTGCGTAGCTGCAGAATTTAAAACAAAAAACAACAGAAACCTTTTGTGAAATTTATATAATCCAGCCACAAACAGCCCTTATCGCTAAGCTTAACTTCACGTTATAAAACAATCATGTCCTTGTTTGCGTTGATATTACGTTCCCTTTAAGAAATGGGAAAATACATCAAAATTATGAACCTCGAGAATCGAAAAGACAAAAACTATCGTAACAACAAGGTCTACAACAGTCAGTAAAGTTACCCACTTGTGATCAAAAAATTTTTTAAAGTATTTTACTTTTCAGAAACATTTCTCTTCACTACTGGCGCGCAACGATTCTTATTCACACTATCATTATCACATGTCATATTATCTGCCAGTGTCTGTCGAACTAAAATTATCATTTTAATTCCGAACACCAGCATTTGAAGCACCTCTTGATCTTTTCCCATAGACCAGCACCTGGAGACTTCAGCCTTGGAGCAGCGAATTACAGCGATATTCAAAATGAGGTGTCTCTGTTTTCTTTCAAACCCGTCTGCACAACACGGCCAGCGAATTCTACGATTAATTGAACGCCCTGATCGAAATACTTGTCCCAATAAACAAAATACACAGACGAATGGTACTAAGCTGGTTCTCAAGCTGAACCTCACGCTCTATAAAAAACTACACACTCAAGAAAAACCGTTACAAACCAAAACGACGGCATATAGGCTCCTAGTGGTAACCAAAACAAAATCCGATGTCATTGCGTCCAGTAGCGAAAACGAGAAAAACTAATTTGATATTTAATTACCTTAACAAAAGCCTAAGTCTGCTTCTTTTTATGTAGTTATCTACGGCAATGAATCAAACATAGCCAATAATGCACCCACTACATTGCGAGGCCAAACTTTGCACTGGATAAGCGCACAACTTTGTGTCTGTATGTTCCTGGAGTTCTAAAAAGCAAGTGGATTCCACTTACACAAGTTTCGTGAATTCCGCGTGCAAATTGCTGTAACGTAAATTTTGTTTTTGTCGGCACAATTTTTTTGTTGCGGATTCCGCAACAAGCAAATATAGCTAGTTGTTCTGGATTCCGCAGCTGTAAGTGAATTCCGCAAAATTTAAGTGGAATCCGCAAAATGTAAGTGGAATACGCAAACGTAAGTGGAGTCCGCAAACCAAAAGCGGATTCCACTGACAATTTGTGGATTCCACTGACAATTTGTGGATTCCACTTACAATTTGCGGATTCCGCTTACAGTTGCGGATTCCGCAACAGCTCAGTGTAACTATACACATGTCTTATTATTTGTTTGTGAATTCAACTAATTTTTCTGGATTCCGCAAAAAAAGTTCCGGATTCCGCAAATTTGCTTGTTTTTGGAGCAATTTTGAGGTTCGTAGGCGAAATGGGTTCGTAGACTGTCCTCTCAGACTTATGAAGTGTGTATATTTTTACAAAATGTGTATTTATAACTTTTCATCACCTGGATCTATCTTCAAATTTTCTTTTTCATCATCTGGATCTAACTATCACCATTTGTCTATCCTGTCACAGCTGTAAGAACACATTCAAAAAATCTATTTACCCGGGTTAACCTCCATACACCGAAAATGCTTATCATACAATTCCATACATCAAGTGTGTGGAAAAATGCGTGTCATACAATTTTCATACAATTTCTAAAAAAGGTTGAAAAAAGATATAAACTTATTTCTGTGGATGTTTGTTTCTAATAAATCAGTCTGGTAAACAAACTGGTTTTCGTTTTTTGAAAAAAAAATGCTTAACATACAATTCCCATATATGGAAATTGTATGACTGGCATTTTTTTGATGGCGACACAAAAAATTTTCAAGTAATTTTGAAAATTTGGCCCAAAAATTTGTTGTTTTTTTTCAACCGCAAATCGAATTTCGTACGCAAACAAACATTTTCCGAAATTTTTTTTTGCATGCAAAATTTACTTCGTTTTTTGAAAAAAAAATGCTTAACATACAATTCCCATATATGGAAATTGTATGACTGGCATTTTTTTGATGGCGACACAAAAAATTTTCAAGTAATTTTGAAAATTTGGCCCAAAAATTTGTTGTTTTTTTTCAACCGCAAATCGAATTTCGTACGCAAACAAACATTTTCCGAAATTTTTTTTTGCATGCAAAATTTACTTTTTTTGTGTGCATAACGTAGTCCTGGATACAATAATATTGGCTTTCATTTTCTTTTGACTTGAATTTTTTCTTCAAAAACGCTGAAAAATCCTATTTCCTTTGTATGGGGTGTTTATATATGCCTTGATCAATGTCTGATAATTTCAAAATTCTAAAACTTAAAATAATCACCATTAAAAAATTTTGCCAAAAATTAAAAGTTTGTTACTTTTGTTATATGAATTGTGAAAGACAGCCAAACTCAGGTCGTTTTCTATGCATTGTAAATGCAAAGACCGTCCAATCTTTGGTGCTTTGAGTAACCAAGGTCTTTGTCACTTGTGTTCGGCTGCAAACACAACCGAAAATTTTTCAGAAAATAAATTTAGAAAGCATAAATCAAACTTTTGGTTTATGGAAAAACACCTATCATACAATTTTTGATTTATGGAAAAATGTTAATCATAGAGATTTTATACAATTTTCTGTACGTATGGAATTGTATGACAAGAAGTTTCTCATATATGGGAATTGTATGATAAGAAGTTTCGGTCATCCCGGGTAGGTGTCAAAAAAACTGCTGAAATCTATGTCTACGTATTCCACACTTAATTAACGCCGCTTTCTTAGGGGCGAAATATGCCAGTAATTTGAGGGGCGAAATGTGCCACTAGATTTAAGAGGGGGCGAAAAGTGTGAAGGGCGAATTGTGTGAATACCATAGGAGGTGTACTTACTCAATTGAAAGAACACTTCGCTTTTATTAGCAAACTTGCTAAAAATAGGACTTAAGAACAAAAACTTAAACGTGCAACGCAGTCCACGGGTTGGTTGAGTTCAGCCAATAACTCGAAGCAGTTTTATATGCAAGCGCAAAATAATTCGAATTTTTCTTCGCTCTAATTATCCAAACTCAACCAAGCATTCTATAAGTCTCATCAAATTTTACGCGATAGCTATTTTTAAATCATTCGACGACAGCAAGATAGATGATTAAATTATGTTCACATAACCACAATTTAAAAACTTAACCAGCAAACGGCTTGTTAGTTGAAGAAAAATATAATTTTTGACACACATCTTAGATCATTAAATTATGTTCACATAACCAAAATTTAAAAACTTAACCACCAAACGCCTTGTTAGTTGAAAAAATATATAATTTTTGACACATCTTCACAGCCTGAAAAAAAATGGGTGATCTGTACGTCAGAAACGGTTGTATGTGCTACTTATGCAGAGAGCCTTTTAATAGACCGCGGGTGTTGGATTGCGGCGACTCTTTCTGTCACGAATGTCTGGATAAGATCTTGAAGGAGAATAGAGGCAGCGCTCTAAAGTGTCCCCAATGTCACCATCCAATGGACAGTAAGAGGACTTATCCGATCAACACAAGCCTCCAGAAGAACGTCGAGTTGAGTGCAACTTATTTACAACTCATTTTCAATATTTACAATGAACAATTGATTCTAAGATGCACAAGCATCGCAGACTTCTTTTCTAAAAGTTTCAGATCACGGTTTCCATTTTTTCAAGTAAAATTTCCAAAAAAACTCAAAAATTTCATAGGCTTTGAAAAAAGTGAAGCCTGTTTACTCTTTCGACTGTTTATTTTATCACATTGGGGTCGACGAGCTATTCTCACGGTAGAAGGTTCGAAAGGCCAAAATTGTACAGCTAACAAAAGTCCGTTAAATAGCACTAACATCGGGTTGTATTGTAATTATCATGCTTTTTTCAAATGTTTGAATTAGGAATCCCCATTGGCTAATACCCAGGAGCGGATCTAGAATTTTCTCGAGGGGGGGATTAATTTTAAAAAAATTGAAAAATTTGTCTACCTTTTTTTTAGGTCGAACAAATTGATTTTCCGAGCTCTCCCAAAGCACTTTAAAGACCCTAATTTGACCCTAAATTTTTTTTGAAAAAAGGCCAACAAAAGCGTTTTTAGGCACTTTTTTTTGAAAATTTTGACCAAAATCGCGTTTTTTTGGCGCGCGCTCCCCCCTCAAAATTAAAATAGGTTGACGCTGAAGGCGCCTTTTAAAAATTTTAAAGTCAATCAGCCATAAAATGGATATCTCAAAATAGTACAAAAAATGGGGACCCTTTGGGTTGGCAGGGGGTCAAATTGGCGATTGGCGTCCGTCAGCCCCCCCCCCCAATCCGCTACTGCTAATATCACTTTGAGTCATACACTTCTTCTGTCATGGGGAATACTGTATATTATATATTCTAACACCTGCTCTTTTTTACAGGCTATGATGCAAAATTTGCAGGCCGAAGGACAAGCTAGTGGACTGTCTACGGCTGCTAGCTCCAGCATTTGCGAAGAACATCCGAGAGAGATCAAGGACCTGTTCTGTCAGAAATGTGAAGTCTCTCTGTGTTCTGAATGCGTTCATTCAGACCATAGAGGCAGTCCTCATAGAGTCCTCAGCATCGAGGCAGCAAAAAAAAGACGCGAGCAAGTGGGAATATCGTTGGAAGCCTTCTCACGATCTGTAAAAGAAGCATCAGAAACTTTGAGCAAGATGAACGCATACATCCAAACATTTATCTCCAATGATTTGCAGAGGGCTGAAGATATCTGCAATATTTACCAACAGTCCTCAATTTATGAAAGAGAACTGAAAAAAAAGCGGGAAGTGCTAGACGAAGCGCTAGAGGAGCAACGAATCCTGGTTGCTAGATTCCACAGAGAGGCCAAAAAAGAACTGGATGAAAAGTTTACCGCGGTTGAAGACGCTCTGAGGAAAGTTGGCGATCAGAATTAGCCTTAAATGCCTGAAGAGTCTACAAGAAAAGTCTACAATACCTGAAAAGTTAAAACTATCGAATGAAGTAATTTGCTTGAAAAAAAATAAGACTTTGTTTTGTTTGAAAACTAATTATTTTAACTAGACGTTAAATCATGAATTTATTTCGTTAACTCGTTCTCTCTTTAGAATCTGTTCAAAAATAACGCCCCTTGTTCACATGCATTTTGTGAGATGGTATATTTTTTTGGCTAATTTTCTTTTATGGGCTTTACTGGAAACCCCCGTAACAGCAAACAAAAGCTTGTGCCACACGCAATTTTCCGATAAAATACTGTTGCAAGCACTGGGATCTTTTAATTTTTTTTCTTCCACTTCCTAGACAGGGGAAGCTGCAGTTCGCACGTCAATAAAATGGCCACGAGTCAATTGCCGTATTCATTAATTAATCCACTGATGCTTGGACATCACAACTTTCGCCGATAGGTAACAAGATCGCACTCGAATCACGCTATATTAATTTGGTTTTTTTGCCGGATTAATTCGTCGCTTACTCCGCTACAAGCCACCAGCGAATTTAGCCCCCCCCCCCCACCCCCCCTCAGGGATTCGACCCCAGCCGACCCAAAGGGTCCTTCTTTGTAATATTTTGAGATTTCAATTTTTGGCTGACTGACCCTAAAATTTTTGTAAAGGCGCCAAAATATAGCAATTTTGTGTGTCTGGGGGGGGGGGGGGGGGGCACGCGCCGAAAAAACGCGATTTTGGTCAAAATTTTCCAAAAAAAAATCCTAAAAACGCCTTTTTTTGACTGTTTTTTCAAAAATTTGCCTGCGCGCAGCAAATTTGGTCAAAATGGGGTCTTTATAGCGGTGCGATTTGGGTGAGCTCAGAAAATCATTTTAGTCGACCTAAAAAAAAGGTCGACAAAATGTTCAATTTTTTTTTTGAAAATCCGCCTATTATTTAACGTTCAAAACTTTGCGAAAAACGATCACAGCTGAAATATATTTGATTTTTGCTGACGTCATCGAAATATTTCAGATGGTGTAAAAAAATTCCGTCAAAAACTGTCAGTGAAACAATCGGACCGTAAACAAATGCCTGTATTAAAATTGTCCACGATTTTACTTTATCGCTGGTTTAACTATATGATTTAGTGCAGAACACCCGAATGCAGAAAGTGAGTAATATAGAATCCGCAATAATATTTGTGACGTAGAAGGGAAAATCTGCCAATATAGATTCTTCCCTCAAACGGAACGCCAAGAACAGAATATCAAATTTGCACATATTAGCTAAATATGTTGCTGAATTAACTTGCTTCAATTCAATTACTATTTCTACATCGCAAGAGGTGCCACGCTATACCATTTGCTGTGAAGAATGGACGATTGGAAAAGAGTCATTGAACGCAAGGAAACAGAAAAAAATCGACTCTTTTACTAAATCAAAAATACTTGCATCTACGATGAAAATTTCTGATTGCACAAGAAAATTCAAAATTCCCCGATATTGCAACTAAGTCAACGAAACACAAGTAGACAAACAAAGCCCGACAATTCAATTTACTTATCGGAAAACATTTTCCATTTCACAAACTGAAAAACATAGCAAACTGACAAATGGAAAAGAGAAACGAACGCCAAAAAAATGACGTTATTTGAAAAAAAACTTCAATTTTCGAGCTTTAAAGAAACAAATGAGGCCTTAAAACTCTTTGAATTTGAAGAATAAATTAGGATTGATATTTTTCGAAAAATTGACCCAATTTGAGAAAAATCGATCAAAAAGTAAAATTTGTATTTCGCTGGACAATCTGTAAATTAAAATCTTTTTTCGAAACTATAATTTGATCAACGTTTAATGATCTTCACTTTTTGCTGTTCGTTTTGCCTTCCTTTCAACAAAATAAATAAACTGAACTTAACAAGAATAAATCAAAAGTCAAACCGCAATTTTGAGCGAAAAAAAATTTAAGACTTTTCCCGAACATTTATCAAAAATCACCACGAGCTATATAAGAGTCTGAAATACGTTCATCGACTCTAAAGTTTTGAAACCGTCGATAAAATAAGATTCAACAAAATTTTCATATCCTCGTCTTGAATTGAATACACTTTTTTAAAAAACTGAACATGATAATCAGAAAATGAAAAGTTTCCATGCGGTATGAATCCATCAAATGTTGAGCAGACACCTGTTGGCAAAAAAAGTTTCCATTAGAAAAAATTTCAAAAAAAATAAATTAACCCTCAATAAACCCACACGCATATGAAATTTGTTTCGCTCATCAAGCGATGCAATATGATGCCACTAAGCAGATTAAGTATCAACCGGAAAGAAATTTAGGCCGAGTTAACACGCAAAAAAAAATAAATTATACCGAATCGGAGTTGATAAAAATAAAACTAACATTAAATAAAAAATAGCGCGTAAAGCACCTCCGAAGCTTCGAATTTTTAACTACTCATGAAAAACGCATATGTTGAAAATAAGATCTGCATCCTTTGAGCGTACTCTGACAGCAACCAATTACAGGGTTGGTAGTTTCAAATTAAGCAAAGTTTCTTTTATTCAAACTTTTTATTCAAATTTTGAAAAACCATAAAATTTTGTGAAATTATATATATGTAAGTTCTTTGAAAACATTTAAAAGGAACTAAGAAACGTCACATTTCAGAAAGTACAAGGACTTCGGCAGTCGCATTTGAACGCAAGATTTGCAACCCCTGAGAGTCCTTGGACAGCCATGAGTAATTAACAAAGCTCGCTAGGTGACCAAACAATTGCGGTGAATGCTATTACGCCGAAAAATTAATTGTAACATTGCATCGAAATAATTTTTGTTTGGGACAAAACACTACATGCTTCGGATATCATCATACTAAAACCTCAAAAATTCCAGACGGTAACGAAAGCAAACATCTTGGCAAGAGGCCCTTTAAATCGAAAAAAAAAGAGTTCTAAAGCCCCCTAAATTTTTGACCCAATAAACGTTACTAGATTGTTTCACCCTCGCTCCGAAAAACCAACGCTCGTAAAAACTCTCAAGTGGCATCGGACATATCCACTAACTTGTTATCCTCCAAATTGGCAAAGTTATCAAGTCTTAAAAAAATTGCCAGAATTTTTTAGCGCTACCACAATAGCTCTTCATCGTTGTCGTCTCTGATTGATCTCGGCTCGAAAGGTGAAACTGAATTTTAAAAAATAAATTCTAGCCATTGAACTAAACATGTACTAAAACGAAAATGCTGGCTGCTGTTGGCGGGGGCGGAGGGTAAGGAGTCCGCCCGCTAGATAGAATGTTGTTCAGCAGACAGCTTCTTTATATTAGTCTATTGTATTGTATTGTTGTGTATGGTACTAGTACTGTAATCAACTGTATCAGGCATTAACGTATCATCTCAATCTATCAATCTATCTGATATTATCATCATCATCATTCATTTCATCGACAACTTCAGCTAAAGAGTCGTTCTGTTTCAGTCTACGCAAACAGTCATCCTCTTTTCTCACTTCAGATCATTCAAATTCGCTTGGAAAGAAAAGAAGGGTATTGGAGAATGGATAGGGTCATCATCAGACACAGCATAATGACCTACTTTTAGCTCTGCACAGAAAGATGGTTAACATTGGACGGTATGGTGGGTGTAGCTAATATACGCGGGGATGCGGGGGGGGGGGGGGGTTTAGAGATTAGAGAAATAAACTGAGCGTAGATACCAGATTGCAGTTGGATCATATGTAGACTTAGACGACAACAACGAGAAGTCGCAGAAGGAATAGCAATAGTAAACATGTATATGTAGCAGTAGTAAGAGTAGAATTGGATTGGTAGGTACTAGGAGTAAAAAGATAATAAACACAAAACCTGCAGCTGAGCAACTAAAGATAACACAGTATTAATATTGCCGAAGTGAAGAAGAAAAGAGACTAAGCAAACGTCTCCGCCTCTCATACAAGAGGTCTTGAAACTCTTGTTAAACGTAATACTTATGTTATACTTTATTTTTTAAGCCTCAATCTTTTATTTCACAAGAGATTTAAAAAAGTTTCAAGACCTGTAAATACATATAATATAATTGCATTCCAAACAAAAAGTATAAGCAACCCAGCAGTCGTTATGTACAGTCGGAAAACTTGTTTGGCCTAAATCGATCGACGAAAAGATACGAATGAATGACTGAGCTAAAAACACTCAACATTAATTAATTATCTGGCACCAATTTAAATATAGAAAACAGTTCGCCAAAACTAACAGGTAATTTAGAATTGCATGAAAATGCAAACCAACTTTTCTGAAACGAGCTAAAGTGTTTAAGATAATCGTCACAGTTGTTGAATTGGTCGAAAGGTTGACCATAAACGTATTTGGGTTGTAAAATCGACGAATACAAAGAATGGCAATTTTTATGCTGGAGTCGAGATGACAAATCGCACGAATCCTTATCCAACAAGTAAAGCCCCATCAAGTTAAATCAACTGCATATGCATTCAGGTAAAATTTCCCCTTAAAACTTGCACGCATCTCTAGCTGAAACTGAAAACTAAACATTCGATAACCTAAAACTTTCTGCAAAAACGAATTGATGCTAGAATCCCTCATTTATACAATCAGAACCTAGCTGTGAATGAAAAGGATAGCAGAAGCAAAAAAATCTCCGGAACAATAGCTGATTTGTTGATGCATGGGGATATCAGTCACTCAATTACGACAAAATATCGCCTTTTTCAGTCAATCAGTCACTCAATTACGACAAAATATTACCTATTGGCCAGAAAAACACAAAACTAATTTTCTTTAGCGTTGCTACTTACTTAAGAAATTATATTGATGATAGCTCTGAAATACCAGGTCAATTTCTAGCACAATTATTACCACTATTTGACCGGAAATTCTCTCCAATAAAATTTTCCTACGTATTAATATAGCCAACAGACAGTTGGAAAAGAGTCAATGAACGCGAGTAAACAAAAAAATAGATACCCTTATGATGAACTTTGAAAAGAAATTTTTCTTTGGAAAGAAGTGTTGTATGAGCTTTGTCGTGGTGCCCACTTTATCTAAAAGATTCATTTATTCCCTCATGTCCGATTGAAGCTCACAGAGCCACATTTTGGACACAACTTCTTTTGTTGGGGCAAGTGGGTAATCCGAATCTGCATCGTGCAGATGATCGGGGTACTGAAGATCGACGTCCAAAAGGTAACCGATTTCGGATTCTCCGCTCATATTGAGATATTCGGCTATAGTTACTTGATGATTAAGCTCGAATGATTTTAATGGAAGAGGAAAATTCTCCATAATCCCGCCATATAAATTGTTCGCGTCTATCATACAGAGGAAAGTGCTCGGCTGTTTAGGGTCGTATTTTTTCACAAATTTGTTGTTGACAGAAACAAGGCTTCTTTCAAAAACACTAGCAATGCCTCCCCTGACGAAGTTGTCTGCAACATCCAAGTGCTCCCGATCAGTCTTGCATGCTGGAGGTCAGCCTTGCATGCTCGCAAAAACGCATCCCTTGAGAGATTGCTAGCCGTGAAATACTGAGTACAACCTAGCTTATATAATTCATAACACATTCGTCTAAGCTCTTCAAAAACGCATGCAAGAATCAAGGTATCAGTCGTTTGATACAAATCACTGTATTCGACCCACGTCTGACAACCAAAACGAGTGTACACTAATAATGCAACTTGGTATTCTTTTTCACTGACACTAACAGCACCTCCTTGCAGCTTGTTGATCCACTTGTCCCGTGCAGGTAGTCCATCTTCTGTGTATCTTGCATGGCTTTGAACATACGAGTAGGGTAAGTAACCTTTTCGTCTAATCAAGGCTTAATCTTCTTCTTGTCGGCTAGCAAAATGGTTATTGAGGTATATGAACTTGTCCACAGGTAGATTCCGAGCCAGCTCATCTAGTGAGCTGTTCAAAGGTTTAAAACTGTCCACAAAACGATTTCTTCGTAGATATTACAGACATTTCTTTTTTCGTTAATGTACGATCTAATCCACACTTTCATTGTAAGTGAAATAAACTTTTCTTCATTGAGAGGAATGACCAAAAAGGTGTTTCTGATATTAGTATCTTGCAGACGCTTCAGTACATCGTGCAAACGATATTTCGAAGATTGTGAGCAAAGATAAGGGTGAATTATATGGTACGTCTCAGGATGTTGCAATTGTTGTGAGCCCGCCCATCCGGGGAATGATCCATCGAAATAATTTTGGTCCAATACTTTTGCGTTAGTTTTGGAAAACTCGTCTTCGAAAATCCAGCAATTGTCACTGATTTCAAGATTAGTGGTGCTTCCGAAGTAGTTCGGGAATCTTCGTTTTTTATTATGAAAGTCATGTGCCAAAACTTCTAGCATTTGAACAATTTTAGTCATCGCGTCCATTCCTCGAAGTGAAAAATAGAACACCGGTTGCGGGTTTCCAGCTTCCACAACTACAAGGCAAAAACTGCTGGGTTCGTGATTTTCGATTACGGTTGTGCTCGAGTAGGCATGATTACTTCTCACTGTTTCCACCTTCTCCAACATAGACTCCAAATCAAAGTAAAACCGCGAATGGGCTATAGCTTCGGGCACCGATATTTTTGAACCGTACACTGCTCTTCTTAACATTTGGCAATAGTAACAATTGCTGGTTTGTTCCCAATGCAGAATAACCGGCGGCGCTCAAGCCGTTTCACAGGAGAACACCGGTGAGTAGTAATGCCGCCGCAAAACCCTGGGTAAAAATGGCACCCTTTCTGATTGGTTTGAACTGTTTACAAATACCAAGAAAAGTTTTGTATATTTTAGAGCGGGAAGTAAACAAATATCGAAGTGTTCCAATTTTTCTCAGACAAAAACGGGACATGTATGTTATCCCTTTCGGCGGGTTCAAACTCAAAAACATTCCTCTTGAAGAGATCTACATTAGATAAAGAGCTGGTGCCATAGAGTACCAATAAATGACCAATTTCAACCACGCTTAAAATATAGATATCCGAAAAGTTGATTTAACCCCTTAGGGGGATACAAGTGGTCATTGCAACGGCACACCGGAAAACGAGGAGGGGAGTTAAAAGTGGTCATTTTCTTAGCCACTTTTACATACTACTTAAGCGCAATAAAAAACGTAGGAACAAGCCTCGAATTAGCAAAAATTCGGCTAAATATCGAAATCGATACTGCGACCTAGAGATTTTGAGTCTCCCGCACTAACCACTCAGCCACGTACGCTGAATAAACAACTAACACTAGCCACAAATAAAGTAGAGAACAGATACTACGAAATTTCCAAAGCTACAGATCGTGATAATAGCAATAGTGTCACCAAATGAACACTTTCAATGAACACTTTTATTTGCGAGCTGGCTTAGAAAAAAGAAGGTCTAGTTAACGCTAGAGTAATTATGCATTACACAGTGATACTGGATATCGTGACTGGTAGACAAACATTTCTTCGGTTTGATAGCGCTATCAATCTGTATTTCTCACAGTGCCAATTCGGATGTAGTTTTTGGCTAACAGGAGCTTTACATTGAGGTAACTAGAGGTCAATCTTGTGACATCGACTTTTCTATTAAAAGATTTGTGAGCTGCTTGAACGACCTCCAAAAATCTGACTCTGTTGTCTAAGAAAACTATAAGCCGATCAGAGTCAAGAGCTTCAGTCCCATCATTATCAGTTTCCCATACAATCTGATATTCAGGATCGAGATTCTCGCAAAAATGAAGGGCCACAAATTGTTTTCTACTGATCCTCCGAGTTACTTGCTTGCTTCCGAAGACTCTTTGTTGAAGCTGAGAAATTTTCTCCATGTTAACTGCAGTAATCCATATCCATGAATCGTCTCTAAGAGCTTGAGAAGGTTGATTCGATCATTTATTTATCTCCGCTCTAGCATGCCAAGCGTCACTTATAGTTTCTTTTCTGTTATCGTCATTGTCATGATGCGTTTAGAAGAATACCTGTTCAAACAAACCTTGGAAAACATCAGATTCTGAAGAGGTGACGAGGATCACGGACAGTTGATCGATACTGCTCAACGAAGCTTAGACAGGTGTTGAAACGCTAGAAAGATTGATTCTCGGCCAGTTCATAGCTGAACTCTTGTTAATTGCAATTGAGGCTATTACGAAGTATACTGAAGTGAGCAACTTGCCGTTTCAGAACCCGAAGACAACTTCTTTGAACTCGTTGAAACTTCTCCACAGCTGATGGTGGTTGACTTTCTGTAGTAGGCAAAGCCATTGCGTGGTTTCATTGGGGTATGAGGCAAACCAGAAAAAAAATGTTCACAAGAGCTGGAAAGCGACTGTCTCAAAATATCTCAAATTTCGAACTTGAGACAAAAAAAAATGATGACCTTGAATCACTTGAATTTCTTAAACAATTTATGATTGCCATTTTATTTGATCAACTTAACCTGTTGAGGAAACTGGATTAATTGTGAACTTTTTCATCATTCCGCTGATAAATCTGAAAAGTAAAATCCACTTTTGCTGTTTGATAGTGGAGTTTACCTTCCTTTTACTAGAAGAAATGAATTTATCTTACAAAAATCACAAGTCAAACCGCGAAAATCAATTTTGAGAGTGAAAAAATATTGAGACTTTTCCAAAACAATTATCACGAACTATAAAAGAGTCTTAACTACGTTCATTGACACTAATTTAATGAAAAACTAACTTTCCTTTTATTCGAGCTTGCATGTGAAAAAATTATCTTATTGTTCCGACCATTGAAAATGGGAAGGAACTTTGTATTCAGGTGTTATAGTTCTCTTTTTGTTTTCCACGCAAAATCAGGTACCACAAATAATCAGTTGATTAGGTTGAGCGCTATACATATATTGCTAAAAACTGGTTGAAAATTTTTGATTTTTAGTTCTTTCGAGCGAAAAACGCATCAAGGAATTTCGCTATGAAAATTAAGTTTTAGAAATACTTTGGGCTCACAAAACTTGTTTTTACTATCAAGAAAACTAGTTTTGGATGTTTTGTTCAGCGATTATGTGACAAAAAAGATTTTCAAAAAAATACAAAAAAAATTTTGTTTGGTATTGATCTTTTGAAAACAAACTTCGTTGATCATGCCTAATTCAATAATTCTCTACGCGATCGCATAGTTCTCGAATCACACCACTCACTAAATAATATTACAATCATTTAAGTTTCTAAAAAATTTTGCGATCAACGCGAGCCGCATATGTTCATTCTTGAAAAGAACGAAGACTCGAATTTTGTCTTTTTGTGTCTATAGTATTGTAAATTTGACAAAGAAACCTACTGTAGTGAAGAAACTATGCCTAAAAGTGACAGCTAGAAACGGGTGCGGTATATGACAGATGTCACTTCGTCCAACTACGCAAGCAAAACCAATATTTCCTTCCGACACGATACTTGAACTGGCTAAAATTATCTGGAAATTAGTTTATAAAGTTTGTTGTCTTTCACTGTGTCTCCAATCAATAGTACCACCTCATCGTGTTTACATTTTCTATTCACTTTTTGGCTCTACTTTGATTGGATGGTAGTCAACAGTGGTCCCCGCATTAACTCCCCCTCCTCCGTTGCCAGTGACAACCACCCCATTGGACTGGAGTCCCATCGAAATCACCTGTCCCATCATGCCTGCTCCGGATGTCTGGATCACGCCGCCGTTCTGCATTCCTACTGGGGCTCCACTGGACACCACTGCCGCCGGGTGACTGACCGGGTTGTAAGCTATGGCTTCTGGGTTCAAGTTGCTGAGATTAATGGGCGAGTTTCGTGTGACTTGTGGCTGTTGGATCTGAGCTGGCAGGTAGAACGCCTGTGCGCTTCCAGGCGGGCTAGTCATGATATTCGGAGGACTTTCATGCAATTGCGACGACTGTTGCATACTCGGGTGTTGTTGCATACCATTCGAGACATTTGAGCTATGGATACTAGGGATATTCTGTGAGGGTCCGTTCATGGACATGAAAGAGTAGCGATCGCCTGTGCCATTTGACGCTCCAAAACTAGCGGCCCGAATTTGCAGCTCATAGATTTCTTTGTTCTTCTGTCCGATTTCAACTAAAACGAGTTGATTATGAAAGTAAACAATTTTTCAACAAATACTTGTTTGAATTGAAAGCTGACAATCAACCCGAAAAAAGGAGCACTCAATTTTTGGGGTGTTGAAAAACTATGATAAGCGTAGTTTTGAAACCTTGTATTTGAAACCTAAATATTCTTGAAAGCTCAGTCATTAAATACTTCCTATATATGAATCCAAATTTGTAAATCGTTAATTAAGCTTCAGTTGAAAGTTAGATTCTTTCTCGCTATGACTTAATATCAACCAATCAAATTCAATTATTTCTTCCGCATCTTTAAACAAAACAAAAAACAGAATTTGTGCCAAAGAAAAGACCAGCAAAATGTCATCGATGCGATGAAACAGACAAAAAGCTAACTTTGGAAGCTGTTGATTTTCCTGTTGCACTCGTTGAGGGCGGAAAACAGATCCATCTTGTACTTGTTCTCCATGCTCAGATTGCTCTCCAGTCGACTGTTCAACTCCTGCACCCTCGCTATCTCCTTACTCTTCTCCGCCAAGTCATCTCGCAGCACTCGCAACGTCTGCAACACAACATCCATTATATAAAACTATTCAACAATTATAACTCAACTTCATTTGAATAAATAATAATAAACAAAGACAACTGACACTTAGAAAAAAGTAATGAACGCAAGTAAACAGTAAAAAAGCACTTTTGTTTGTTGAAAAAATCTCTCAATTTTCGAGTTTCAAAGAAAAAATAGATGCCCTTTAAGCTCTTGTAATTTCTAGAACAATTTATTATTGGCACTTTTTTGAACATAGCCAATCGAAGATAGGAAAAGAGTAATGAACGCAAATAAAGATGAAAAAACACTGATTTTCTTGAAAACATCTCAACTTTCGAACTTCGAAGAAAAAAATAGACGCCATTTAAGCTCTTTGAATTTCTAGAACAATTTATGATTGGCGCTTTTTTGATAATAGTTACCCAACTAGAGAAAACTGGATCAATATGTCAAGTTTTTATTGCGCTGGAAATCTAAAAATTATTTTCCACTTTCGAAACTAGAAATAGTTCACGTTTTTTCGCGCCATTTCCACGTTCGTATTTGGAGAGTGCTATTAACGTCAGTTTGAGCAGATGAATGTCACTTGAACTCAAAAAGTGCATTATATTTAAGTGCATTCATAAAGGCATTAATACGTATGAATGCATATCTGTAGTTATGAGAGCATTTTAAGATCTTCCTGAGAAAAAAGTCACCAAGACCTATATAAGAGTCTTCTACCTTCATTACTCTTAAACAAGGACAGCCGGTTGCTGTGCAAGTATCACAGAATGTTCCGACCACATTCTCAAAAAATGTTTACGAGTTAGTCTCTGTTCTTGTACGCCGTGTGATGATAGAACTATACAAACGCGTAATTTAGTGACTAATATTGTCTTCGAATTATAAATAAACAAAAAAACCGAAAAATTGCATTAAAAATTTCAAATATTTCAATTATAATCAAGTAATTTATAGCCCAAATTTTAAATTTTCATATATCACGAACGTTACTCGATCGCTTTACTCGCTCGAAAATAGACGAAAAATCAAAAATTTCAAACCTGTTTTTCTCGAAACCGGTCGTCAATACCATATATCACTCAACCGATTCCGATGATTATTTGTGGTACCTAATTTTACGTGGAAAGCAAAAAACTAAAACTAAGTTCTTCCCCATTTTCAATGATCGGAACAATAATAATAAAAAATTCGTTTTCAAGAAGACAACGTTTAGTCTATATTTTACATGTATATATATATTTTACATATATATATGATATTTAAAAAGGCCTAACTCGCAAGAACACCAAAAAAATTTTGAACACCAAACATAATGCAAAAATGTTAAGAAAATTTTCAAGCAAACCATGGAGGCGTCTTGGATTGAACCAATTTACAAGAAGAAACACATAATTATTCTTAAATTATGTCACTCTAATCAGCTCTTCTGTGATCAGACTTTTAATAATACAAGACACTTGCTCTCGCCTGTTTAATTTCTGTATGAATGAAAACGTTCAGATGCCATTTATTCTCTATCAATGACTAAAAGGACAATAAATAATATTTATGAAAAAGTCAATCCAGAAAACCATTCAATTAACGAACAATAACAATCAGTTTCAAGATTAAAACGTTACCTCTGAATGGTTCTAAAAAACATCGCTTATAAAGAGACAATCATGAACTTTTCAGCAAGGAATAAAATACCAGTGCTCGGAATGCTTCTTGAGTAATCAGTTCCTGCTTATCAACAAACAACTACGCGACGTTCAAGCTCGGAAGAAGCTTGAACTGAAAAAAATTAAAATAATATTCAAATAACCTCTAGCTCTTGTTCCATGTTCAGCATCCGTTCACTCTTTCTGACAAGTTCGACTTGCAGCTGATTCTTTTCTAGTTCCAGATCCTTCGATCGTTTGCTACAGTTACTAGATGTACACTCGTTCCTAAAAACACAACGATTACCACATTTCTTCAATGATACATTGGCTTACCTTGAGAGCTAGCTCAGTGCCTCAAGCCTTATTCGTATTTCATTAGTGAACCTACAACTTGGCACATATCAAGTCGGCCTTCAGACTACTTTCCGTTCTACGGCTCAAAACTGCTGAATTGAAATTTTAATTTAACTCCAGATTTTCTTTCACTGGAACTAGTTTCAGCCAATAAAATTCCAGCATTATGACCCACTTTTTTAAATAACAAAAAATCAGTTTAAAACCGTACCGTATTACACAAAAACCGAACCTTTGTTATCTTTCAAAGAAAAGTCTGAAGTCCTGTAAACAGTCAATAATTTTTCGTTATAGAGGTACAAATTTATTACTTATTTTTTCTTAATGGGAAAAAAAACCATTTGTGTTCGTTTGACTTTTTTCGATTCCATGATAGCTCTTTTACCCCCCACCACTGTGATTTTTTAAACAATTTCATCAGTTCCTCACATATTCTACAAAAATTATTGCACAAAACACGGGATATCACAAACGACTTGAACTATCACAATAAATTGCGCTTAATTAAAAACAAAATGGAACTGTTAAGCTACACTGTAACAGAGCTTATCACTAATACTATCTCCATTAAGTAGATGCAGTTTCATATACGATCTAATCAATTAATTCCATAATAAGTTCGACGGGGTACTTAATTAATTCCATAATTAGTTCGACGGGGTACTTTATTTTACATGCAGTTTCAAATACGATTTAATCAATTAACTCCATAATAAGTTCGACGGGGTACTTATTCTACAGTTCTATGCCGTTCTAATTCTACTAACTTCTTGGCGATGTCAGACATGAACTTGGTCAGTTCCTCCTCCACTGTCCGCTTGGCTCTGTGCTTCTCCTCCTGCGCCCTCTTCTCCGCATCCACTTTGCCCTTCTTCTCACTCTCCAGTCGCATCTCCAATGTCTCCACTTTGCTATTGGCCGCCACCTTCTGCAGTGACAGATCTGCAACCACACACAAACCAACTTCTTACGTTTGCCACACATCACATAAAATGAATCCTTGAACACTAGTTTTGACACATAGGCGAAGTAGAGCTTTGCACCACTCGAGATACAACACAAACATGGCATGACGAACTAGCAGACAGATACTAAGACGAAAGTCTCAAAGCAGAATTAGTCCTGAGAAAAGCTAGACCTACCAAAGCTCTCATATTTTGAATAAACTATTTTGCATATTTTGTTCAAAAGAAGCCCAATGAGACAACTGACTTTCAATTTGCTTCGAAACGACTTACGAAGCAGTAACAAAGCCGACACCTGTTGAGCCAAAAAAACTCTTAAAAAAACTTCTAAAATATTTAAGTGCCCTCTCAAATCGCTCTCACACAAGAAATTTTTTTATCTAAGCAACGACGCAAAATGAGGTCACTAAGCCGATTAAGCATAAACCAAAAAAATAAGACGAGAGAACAAAAAAAAACAAAGAAAAACGAAAACAAAATATACTTCACCAGATTAGATAAAATTAAAATCAACAGGAAACGAAAAGTAATACTAATTCCGTGCACATTAATCAACAAAACAAAAGACAAAATCTTTTTTCATTTAAATTTATTTTAAAAAAAAAGTTTTTCAAAAAAATACAACAAAACAGTCGCAAAAAAATCTTATAACTCGATCACCTCCACCAGTGGAATTTTACAAATTCGAACCATACGCTTTTATCGCTCAGGGCATATTAATTATCTCTACTCCAGATAATCTGGATTGGTGACAAAAACTTATTTCATTCCAAAGCAAGTTGAAACACGTGTAATATTTTCACGTGAAAAATGTTTTGATCTAAGTTCTTTACGGGAGAAAAGAATAGTACCCGATTGCATCACCCTTAGCTTATCGCAAGGTTAAGCTGCCATATCTTTTATTGCATTACAAATAGAATAAAAAAGAGGACCATATTTTCGCATGAGATACCGACCCCAGTCGAAAAACGCCTTCGATTAGGGGACGAATCTTTTTCAAAAATACTGTTCACGCCCTCAAAAAAAACTCACTCTTTTGGTGTTAAGTGATTTAACTAACAAAATTTAACTCAAAAATGATTTCATGTTTTATTTTCAGGCTATTTTGACAGTTACAGAAGAGAAGATTTTCATCAGTGTCATCATTCATCACGACTTCAAAAATTATGAGAAGCAATCAATAAAACCTTCAATTAACTTTTAACGAGATTGTAATTAACCATAATCATATCCAACAGAAAATAGGAAGAGAGATAAGAAACAAGGAAACTAAAATTTCCTGTTCCAAAAAATTTTTTGAGTTCCCAAGAAAACAAGTTCGCTTTAAGAAATTCATGATTGACACCTTCTGATAAAACTGACCCAACTTCAAGTTTGCGTTAACTTACGAGCCACAATTAAAACTAGGACAACGTAGATTCCAAAAAAAAACTGATTAACAAACAAAAACAAAAAAATCATTTTTTTCACAATAATTTAAATATTTTTAGAATTTTTTTTCCTATGTAGCGCTACCTTAAGATAAACTTTTACCGAGCAAGCGCTAAATAGTTTCCGTTTCAGTAGAATCAACTTTTCTCAGCCTAAAATTTTCAGACAACGAACGTTACTCGATCGCTTTTCTCCCTCAAAATTAGACAGAAAATCAAAAATTTTCAAACCGGTCTTTTTCTGGGCTTTTTTCAATCCTTGTTTGATTCATTCTTGGTTGATTTGATTCGCAAATAGTTATGCTCATAAAATTTTGAAATAACGCAGTACTTTGACGGAACTTGGGCTTGATGTATCATTGGCTTAGTGCCCGTCAACATCCGCGTACTTATCAAAAAAATATGCATTTGAATAGAACAATGAATTATTCTGACAAATTTCAGCTTCTGAGCTTCGAAGAAAATATTATCTAAAGAAGTCTGTTGATTTCAAAAACATTTTTATGAAGGATCCTTTTTTGAACAAATTATTCGAATTGGAGAAACATAGTCAACAGAGAATTGAAAAATTTCATTGAACTAGAAAAAAAAACAAAAATTGACTTATTTACGGACAATTGTTAACTTTCGATTTTCGGAGAGTAAAAAATCTGCTTTAAAAAACCTTGAATTTTGAGAACATTTCAAAATTGGCAGTTCTTTTTTCATAAAACTAGCCCAATGAAAGAAAAAGTTTCCCAATTTTTCAGTATTGTACTGGGAAATCTAAAACATAGCCAGCAAAACGTTGGAAGAGTCGATAAACGCATGAAATATGAAAAAAAATGGAGAAAAAAAACATAATTTTGGTGTTTCAATGAAAAAAACATATGGCCTTTATGCGCTTTTTTAGAAAAATAGCTGGATCAATTCAAGAAAACTGGATCAATGGGTAAAGCTTTGACTCCGCAGGGAAATCAAACAATTAAAATCCAATTTCGACACTAGAAGTCGTTCACGTTTTTTCGCGCCATTTCCAAGTTTGTATTTGGAGAGCATCTGATTTCACGTATTTTTAGCAGATAAGTTTGAATTGAGCTTAAAAAGTGTATATATACCTAGGTACAATCATAGATGCATTGATATATATGAATGTACATCTGTAGTTATTAGAGCAATTCAAAACTTTTTCCTGACAAAAAGGAACCGAAAAAAAAATCACCAATACCAAAAAATACCAACACCGAAAAAATTCACTACATTCAGTGAATCATAAAAACAAAATCCAATTTACAAAACAGAAAATCATTTACGTTTTTTTGCACCATTTGTATTTTAAATTTCAAAGAGCAATATTTGCTTTTCTCTTAGTAAATAAATTCGTATTGAAATTTAAAAAACCGAAACTCAAACCGCCAAAGTCAAACTTGAGAGTGATCAAATTGTAAAGTTTGTTTGTGAAAAAAACAACAAGAAAAGTTACATAGAGACGAAGCTTGGCTTCGCAAACACTTGCGAGAACACGAGAAAAATCAGCTCTATAAATAGTCAACGAGAAAGTAGAAAAAGCCTCAAATTAGTAAAAATTCGGCTACGTCTCGGATTCGATCTGGCACCTACTGCGACCTAGAGAAAATGAGTCTCACGCATTAAACTGTCAGCCACGGACGCTTATTAAATCAGAAACACAGCCCTAAATAAAGCAGAGAACAGATGCTATGAAATTTCCACTGCTACAGATCATGATTATATAGCAAAACTCTCACAAATTAAGTGAACACTTTTAATGAACAATTTATTTGCGAGTTAGCTAAGAAAAAAAGAAGTTCGTACTAAAAAACGCTACGATGATCGCTAATGTAAACACGACCTATTGAAGTGTTTCACTGCGTTCCCTGATACTTCAAGATGAATTAAGAGGCATGTTTTTTTCCTGCTGGAAAATCTAATCAAATCTAACAAAAGTGAATTTGAAAAATAATATTTTAAAATTAACGCAAATTATGTTTTTCCTGCCATTTGCACTTTTTTTGCCAGGGAGAGCAATTTGTCTTCCACTTGGTGAACCAATCGAATTGTGACCTTGAAATCAAATCAAAAGCCAAACCGCAAACACATTTGAACGTCAACGACTTTTAACAACTCTTCCTGAGAAAAACAACCGAAAAACCACACGATACAAGTACATGTTTTCACTTTGTTCGTTGACACTTAAGCATATCTAACAAACAAATTCAAGCTGCCAAGGAAACAGAACTTTTTAATGAAAGTTTTAGATATTAAACCTCTCGGAATCTTCTAATTTTAAGAATCTTCTATGATTGCCAAGCTTAACACCTTTGAACTCTTAAATTTCAGTCAAATTCAAAAACAATGCTTGAATAATATGCCAACTCTTCGTAATGCTACTGGAAAACGCAATTTGAGCTCCACTTCGAGCCAAAAAAAAACGGCAGTAACCTAAATGAAAACTCACTCCATTCAATTACACTGGATCATAAAAAAGACGGTGATATGAAATTAGATGGCATAAAAATAACACCAGTGTGGCATGCGTCTTTCATCTGGCGTGAATTAAACACCAGAAGAAGTCTAGACTAAAACATGTAAAAAAATATTAAAATTCCTTGTTCAATGTTGCGATCGAAAAGTATCAAGTCTGAAATTATAGTCGAAATTCCTTTTCCACATTCCTCCCATACTTTGACTGTCTCCCTTGATTTAATTAAGACTGCTCTCATTCAATTAGAATTATTCTACATCTTTTCAAGAAAAAAACCGATTCGAACCAACTGCTTTTCATGCGATGACGTAATTGCTATTTATGTGAAGGGAGTTTAACACCCTTCCAATCAAACCCATTCTGACAGCATTTTACAATTCTGTCAGAAAATCACCCATTTTTTAATCATTAACTTATTTTTCTCAAACAATAGGACTTTCGATGCTGAAATTCTTAGACTCTCAACTTGTGCTCGCGAAAACCCAGTTAAAAAGAAGACAACCAAATTGAATCTTTCTCGATTTCATATAGATGTAGTGCAACAAAGCTCTCGGCTGTTGTACATGACAGAGGTGTATAAAAATATATTGTGATTAAAATATAGTACGTGTTAAGTCGAATATTTTCAGGCACACTCATAAAATATTTATTTTTGTTCCTACCTTTGAAAATGGGGAGCTTTGCATTTGGGTGCGTTTTAGTTTTCTTTGTTTGCGTCGAGTGATATATCATTTTAAGCCCTTTCAATCAAAATTGTCCCATTGTCTAGAAAACCTGGTTTGAAATTTTTGAGCTTTAGTCTATTTTCGAGCGAGTAAAACGAAAGATTAACATTCGTTAGGCAAAAATTTACTTTTTAAAGGCTATTAGCTTCACAAAACTTGATTTCACTATACAACAATTTAAATTTTTCAATTTTTTTGTTTTGTTTTCACTTTTTGAAGAAAAATGTAACCAACCTTGCCTTCACTAACTTTCTACGCGTTTGTTTAGTTCTCAAATCACATCACAAACTAAAATTGGCACTAATTTCTAGAAAAGAAAAGAACATAGTCAACAATTATGCCCTCCCAATCTGTGACGGGATCCACAGCAAACAACAACAACAACATAGTCAACAGACAGTTGGAAAAGAGTCAATTAACACAAGCGAACAGAAAAAAATTGCGGACAAAAGTCAGCTGTCGAATTTCCGAGAAAAAATAGATGGCCATATCTCTTAATTTCTAAAACAATTGATGTTGGCACTTTTTCGCCACAGAGGCGAAGTTGCACTTCGCATAAACAAGCAAAAATATGACCGATAACGCAACTGGGAAAAACTGAATGAGTAAAACTTAAGTGAAGCACGCCAAATATGAGTCTACATAATTGCTAAGTGACGCAAGCCAACTATGACGCATAGCAGTACCAATCAATTTGGAAAAAAAATACCAAGTAACAAGCCTCAATGAATAGAGCGGACGCATTTTAACTATTATACGAAAAAGTTCATTAAAAAACAGCCGACCCTGCCCAGGTTCGAACCCACTTATTTTGATGCGGGTCTCCTTCCCTTCCTCTACGCTACAGATCCATGATATCTTGAAGCTAAAGTGCTATTTGTAATATAATAGTCTGTGTTAATATCCTTAGCATTGGCTGTACTTAATAGCTGGTGGTTATTGATCAAAATGAACTTTCAAAATGAACACATTTTGGTCGCTACAATATTTGTGTGACAACAATATTTGCGATTTAGGTTGGAAAAAAAGAGAGCTCATACTATAACACAAGCTTTGCTTATGCAATAAAGTTAACATAATTTGAGAAAACTGGATCAATAGGTGAATTTTTTTACTTCGCTGTGAAATCTGAAAAACGTAATCTTTTAACTTTCGCCGTTCGATACTTAAAATTGCTTCCTTTTAACAAACGAAATGAACTGAAACTCAAAAGTCAAAGCGCGAGAAAGTGATTTTGAGCCTGAACAAATTTTAAAGACTTTTCCTGGAAAAAAAGAACAAAATCATCGCGAAATTTTTGTGAAAAAAAATTGATCTTCTTAAGGTGCCAATTGTGGGTGCTTATCATTTCAGACTCAGTTTCAAACAAATGCTCAGCTCAGTTTCAAACAAATTTCAGTCTGTTTATTCGAAAAGATCTTTTTCCTTGAGCATATTACTGATCAACTTGAATAGAACATTTAGCCTTTGTCGGAAACTTATTTTTTTCTTCTAAAAACTGCTATATAAAGTAATTTTTATAAACTACTGGTGCTTGTTCTGCTCTGCCTCTTCTAGATTCTAAATTTTGCTTCGAACTGCAGCCTGCATGTAGATTACATATAAATGAGGACTAGCCTGTGATGCGTTTCTCCAGTTCCTTCTTCTCGTTTTTAAGCTGTTCTATCTCCTGTTTGCTGTGTCTCTCCGTGGATGACAGACTGGTTATCTTGGACTGGAACTCCTGGTTCTTACTCTGCAGCTCTTGGTTGATCATGCCCTTCGCCGACAAGTCAGCACTCAGACTCTTCACCAGAATGTCCAGCTCCTCCATTCTTCAAAAAGTCAGTCAAGTCAGTTAGAAACAACTGGGAATCGCTTCAAAACCACAACGAAAACAACTGTTAAGTTCACAAGCTGGTACACATCTACCTGACCACTAATCAGTTTTCGGTTAGGCTCTTTTTCGGCATCAAATGAAAAATGGTGTGCCAATGAAATGCTCAGCGCCATATATTATTCATCTTAAAATCTCAAATCCATATCACTTCGCTGAATCATGCCAATGCTGATATTTTGGAATATATTTGGAACAGTTTTTGACACTTCTTTAAAGATATGGAATAACGACCCATCATTAATAGGTGAAAACTAAGCACAAAAACTAGCTCGAAAATGTAAATTTCAAAAAAAAATAAAAAACCTCGAAAATGAGAGTGAGAAAAATATCAGCCATAGGTGAATCCATATGTGTCAAACTAGCTAAAAACCTAGCCACAACACCTCTTAAATTGATATAATTTGGTTTAGTTAAGTTGTTTTGTAATATAACTTACTCTACTGGTGTAAATAAAGTATAATTATGGATATGTTTACTGATTTTGACTTACTTTTGCAGTTTCTCTGTGTCTGTTAAGCTGTCGAATGTAGTGACGATAGAAGTAGAAGAGAGGTGGTTGTTGTTCGGCTCCAGCCAGTTCGAGATAGAGCTAGAGGTCATGGACAAACCTGCAGCAGTGCCACTTTTAAAATCTGGGTTACTCGAGTTGAAATTGCTGGCTCCTGTGTTGCTGTTGTTATTATTAGCACGTTGTTTCCTAGACTCCCGACCTGTGTTGGCGCCACTGTTACTGCCCCCCACCTTCTTATTGCCCGCATCGCGCTTATTAGATTGAGAAGATTTTGTGGATATAGAAACTCCGGTTGATGGAACCGCAGATACGTTTGTACTTGATTGAACTGTTACTTGTGATTCTTCAGACTTAGGAGACTCTCCCACATTCTTTTTCGAGCCCTAAACAAATATTCGCATCAAAAACTTTCACTGAACATCTCAAAATAAACTAGACGATAACGCATTTTTCAGACAGCAACTGCCTAAAATTTGATTTGCAGAATTCATCAAACCAACAATCCAGAGCTTCAAGATACCATACATCAGATACACACATAGAAAAGCATGTTTTATACCACTGCAAGCAAATCAGGAACTTAAATATTAGATTAAACTGTGTTACGTGCACACAAAGATCAATTGAGATTCAAAACAGCTGTTTGCTTATCAAATGAATTAGAAGTCTATTGCGCGTTTCAAACATCTTTATCAACATCCATTCCGCGATTACAGTTTCTTTCAAACCCACCAGACTGACTCAAACAAACCAGGGGATCTTTGTACAATCCCCGTTTAATTGTATTAGGCGTCGTAAATTCATAGGCGGTAATCGATTTTCGGAAATTTTAGCATTCGTTGCCCGAAATTTAGCTGAAGTAAAAACAGTTAGCAATCAGATAAGAACTGAATCCTCAAGGCAAAGTTCTGCGAAACTTGGATCTTGACTTTGAATTCCTGTCTGAAATCTTTGAGAGTCAATATTAACACAAAGGCGAAGCGAAGCGTCGCATCAATTGCGATACCACACAAATATAAAAAATAATAAAACAATAAAAAACGTGAGAAGTCGAAAAAAAATTAAAAGCTCACAAAAAACACGGCGAACCAAAATTTTCTCTTCTCCATCTCAAATTTGATAGGGTAGTTTTCAAGAAAAACCAGAAAGTCTCATAAAACCGTTAATAAATTTCCTGCTGTTGTTAGAAACGTTAGAAAGTTCCCATAACCGGGATTTCCCGGCTCAAAAACTCGGCTCTCCAAAACTCATAAATTTTTTATACTAGAGAAGATTAAAAACCGGGATTCTCGATTGAATACTTAATCTAAGAATTGGCAGGGTTGTTTAAAGGCGAGTCAAAAAGATTCTGACTGTCTTGGAGACCATAACTTTTATCTTAAATACACTGAGCGGAGTAATTTATGCCGGTAGGCTTTCAGCAATCTGCAGTTTCAATCAAACCCTTTATATAAGATTTGAATAGTTATCGTGAAAAACCTAGAAGTTTCCAAAAAAACTGCCAGTTTATCAAAAACATGACCTTTTGGGAGGAAATTTTTCAAGAAAAGTCAAATAGTTTCAGAAAACGGTAAAATAACAAAAATGACTTTTCCGAAAGATCCAACGAGTAAAAAAAAATGGGCGTCGTCGATTATGCACGAAAGCATTCCACAACCCGTTATTTCCATTGAACCAAAAATTTCAGATTTGTGAAGGTAGTTCTCCAGAAATGTCAAAACGTTCCAAAAATGGGCCGAAAAATCAAAACTTAAACGTTTCCGAGGTCCATCAATTTTGGACTCAAAAAAATTGAGCGTAGCCGCTTATGCAGGGGAGGTTCCTACAATCCTTTATTTGAATTTAACCCTGTATCTCAGATTTGGGTGGATAGTTTTCGAGAAACAGTCAAAAAATCTATTTCAAGCGCGAACTTTATGTGCGCCAAAATTAGGGAGTGTTTGCTGAATCAGCAGAGTGATTAACCTCAAAATCATAGCGATAACATGCAAGCGGCGCATTGCACGCTAAAACTCGCAAGGAAACGGAATAAAAAAATCGAGAAAAAAATCAGAAAAGCAGTACAAACACAACCAAAATTAAACAAGACTGCTCGTATCATGGCGAAGCCCTGAATGTTCCGACTGCCTTTTAAAGCTTTATGGAGCAGTAATAACATTAAAAATCTCAATTTTTGGAAAAAAAAATTCATTTTATTTTTTTTACATTTTTTTTTTTAAATCATCACCCCACAAGCCACATAAAGTACAAAAGGATAAATTTTGCTCCTTGTAACAAAACAATTATGGCAAATAAGCTTCTTTCAACCGATTTGGAACGATTTTAAGACGGATTAACTCTCCGCTTACGCGTTAATAGCGCGAACTATATCGCGCGTTATTTGTCCCAAATTGACCAAAATGGCAATCTTTAAACCCCCATAACTTTATGAAAAATGATCACAGGTAAAATATCTTTTCAAATTTGAGCTCAGGACAACAATACCTTTGATATAAATGAATGATATAAAAAAAATTCCGTCAAAAATGGCTAGTTAAAGTCGAAATTTGTCTGAAGAAAAAAAAACCCACCCCGAGCACAAATATTCCGTTACTTTCGTAACGAAAGTCGGAAAAATAATACACTTTTAGCACTAGACTAGCCACAACTAAGCTGAAAGCGAGTAGTAAGCCGCCCAGGGAGTCGAAAACAAGAAAATGCAATAAAAAAAAATTGTCATAAAAAAATTTGAAAAACTAACTCATAAAACTTGAAATCTTGCTTGCAATACCAAGTACCTTAAATTTTTTTAAAAATCAATATTTTTCTGCTCTTTAAGCGACACAAAAATTATAGCCAACTGACAGTTGGAACAGAGTAATGAAAGCAAAAAAAAAGAAAAAACACTGACTTTGTTGAAAAATCTCGCGCCCCAGACCTTGGGATAAAAACGCAACCGCGTTAACTCTAGGCCAAGTGAGAAGAAGACTCGAAGTTGCTAAGAATCTCTAATAAATCAACTTCAAAAACTTCTTTAAAATGTGAAAGAAAAGTTGTTCAAGGGGGGGTAGTCCCTAAGAAGCCGAATCCAGCTTACCTCGCCAGAGGCGTTGACCGAAGGAGTTAAGCAGCTATTGAATACGTGGGCCAGAGTGCGCATGGTGTCTGGAATTTTTGGATGAGAGGACTGGTTTGCAACTGCAGCGTTGCCGGCAGTTTGGCTATTGCTATTTTGGGTGGTGCTACTTGGCGACCCAGCAACTACAGTTCCGTTCTGAGTTATACCTATGTGACCAGTAGCTGTGGACGTGACCGCAGGGTTGTTCGCCTGAGGGTTGGCATAACCACTAATACCTTTGTTCGCGGATATAGACCCTGTACTATTAATTTGATTGTGCTTGTTCAGGTTACTTTCAATGCTAGGTGTTCTAGAAGAACGCCAAAAGGAGAAATTAACACCAGTGGATTGTGTAGATCGCGCAGTTTCAGCTTCATTTGATGTGTTATTTCCCCTCACGACATTCGGTCGATGAGTCAAACCGTTGGCTCCTGGATGAGCTGAATGGTTTTGCACCCAAGTAGTGGTTCGATCGACGCTTCCAGTATCCCCGCGATTCCCCAGAAGTCCTGAGATTGTTGGCTGATTTGTGATTCCAGCTTGACCAACGTGCCCATTCATCATGCGTGGTTCTTCGTCAAACAGCGGATACTGGTCAACTAAAATGAATCACGATCTCGGAATGCGCAAAGCTTAATTAAAAACGGATAAACGGTTGCCGCGCAACCGACAGAAGGTATCGATCACAATAATCTAGGCTAGGAAAATCAAAAAAGAATGAACAAAAATCACAGAGGCGAAACGAAGCTTCGCACCATTTGCGTAGCATCACACAAATAGCATTGCGAGGTAGCGGATAGATAATGATGGAAGCCACTAGGTCAAAAATTATTTTAAAAACTCGAAAAAAAACTTAATATTCAATGCATGTCGCACATGTTGTTCAATTTGAAAAAAGCCGAGAACGATAATTCCCAGTGTTAAATTAACAGAGAAACCAAACTTACTAAGTGATATCTAGGCAGACAAAGATTGGAGAGACACCCGTTGAGACGAAAAAAGTGTCATGAAAAACATTGTGCAATAAGATTCAAGAAACCACATCATCACACATCAACGCATTAAGTATGTTTTCACCCTTTAAACCACCTATAATGGAGCAACTAAACCAATATGACATGCACCAAAATTAATCACATCAAAGAACCTTTGAGGAACAGAAAAGTAAAACAAGGAACAGAAAAGTAAAACAAGTAGCACAGAATGTTCCCAGCATAGTTTTAAAAGAAATTTTTCAAATTAGTGTGGTTTTTTCTGTATGGTGTGAAAAAAAATCTGAACAAAAAAGTAGGCAAATGCGACAATCATATCATAGTCAAATAGGCCAATTGGAAATTTTTGAAGTTTTGGAAACTTTTGGTTCCTAATATGGCGCTGAAAATTCCAAAACCTAAATTAAATCAATTAAACTAAGATTTCACGGCAAGCTATTTTAAGCCTGTACGCTCATTTCATTAGTTCAAAATTAGACCAAAAATCAGAAACTTCAAACCAGTTGTTCTCGACTGAGAAAATTTCAAAATTTTTAATGTGATTCGAACCACGAATGAAAGAGCTTTTAAATGATTTATCACTCGATCCATTCCGATGATTGTTTGTGGTACCTGAAAGCCAAAAAAAAAGAAACTAAAACACACCTGAACACAAAATTCCTCCACATTTTTCAAAGGCTCGTAACAAAAAAATATATTCAAAGCTAGCGGCCCTGAGCAGCTAACGCTGCTCCTGAAAAGGACAGCCTTTATCTAACACGGAAAAAGTTCTTTAGTGGTTGAAAGAATGGCTAGTTCAATAGCTGATGTATGGATGGATGGCTGGATAAACGGAAGGATCGATTGCTAGATGGATGGATATGATAGTTAGGTGGACTGAATTGATTGTTCAATTGATGAATGGATAGATGGATGGACCGATGGATTGTTGGAGAGACGGATGTATGGCTGGTTGGATCGATGGATAACTGAATTGACGGATGGATGGATGTCTGGATAGATAGATGGATCGCTGGCTAATTGCATTGAGGAATGATGGATTGCTAGATGGACGGCGGCTTCATGAATTGCTCGTTGCATGTAGAGATGACGCTACCTTGAGGTATGGATAGTTGAAATGATGGACGATGGATGATGTATGGCTAGATAGATGAACAGATGGCTGCATAAATGGCTGGGTATAAGATTGGATGGTAAATTAATAACTTGATGGATGAACAGATGGCTGCATAAATGGCTGGGTATATTATTGGATGGATGGACGGATGAAGTGACGGCTGGAAGAACTCGTGAAGGGATCATGGTTTGATGGATGGCTGGATCGATGCCCGGATGGATGCATGTTTTAATTGATGGATGATTGGATAACCGACTGGATGGACGAATGCTTTGGTTACTGGATGGCTGGACGAATGACTGGAAACAACGTAAAGATAGTTGGATGGATGGCTTGACATAACGCTGGTCGGATAGATGAGCGGATGATAGATGGCTAGATAGATGGACACCCTGCCTTGCGCTACCGTACCCTACCTTGCCCCTCTACGCCGTGCCTTTTCTCTACTCTTCCTGCTTTGCGCTCCATCCGCCCTGCAGGTCACTGTCCTACCCTGCCTTGCCCCTGATGTGCGCTGCTCTGCCTTGCCCCTGGTCGCTCTCCCCAGGCCTTGTCCCTCCTCGCCCGGTCCTGCAACGCCTTGCCCCTCCTCGCTCTGCCCCTACACTTCTTTGCTCTAAGCTATCCCACTCCCCACCCTGTGCACCTTTGCCTGGCCTTGCGTGGTCCTCCCTTGACTTGCCCTCCTCTAACTGGGCTGGCTTCTTTTCGCTTTACCCTAACTTTCCACTCCTCGCCCCGCCTTGCGCTGTACTACTCGACCTGCACTGTCTTGGAAATCCTTGCCCCGCCCTTCCTCGACCTGCCCGGGCTTGCCCTGCCTTGTACCTCATCCACTCCCCCTCGTCCTGCCCGGCCTTGAACTTGCTGCCCTGCGCTGCGCTTCTCAAGCCTTGTCCCTTTTCGCCCAGCTGTGGGCTGCCTTGCGCTCCCAATCCTGCATTGCCACTCCTCGCCCTGCCCTGCATTGTCGCTCCTCATCCTGCCCTGCATTGTCGCTCCTCATCCTGCCATGCCTTGCGCTGAAATGTTTCTTAAGCACGGCAATATAAGATACTGCGTATATATACAAAATTCATATAACCGAAATTCAGATAAAAAAACTGGTTAAATTCTTCCACCCCAGACCTAAGGGTACGACGGTAATCGCCTTACTTCTAGGCCAAAAGGAAATGACCCTGGATTTTTTTAAAGGTTCAATAATAAAGAAAGCAAGTAAAGCAATCACGATTTGTAAAAAAAAATGTTTACGGGAAAAATGACTAGTTCCAGATAACAGGGCACTTGCTCTCGCAAGTGAAAACAGCCCACATTCAAAAAAATTAGTCGATGAGCAGCGAAGGACTGAAATAGAAAAACTTTTTTATATACAAAAAAGTGAAGCTGTTGTAACGCATAAAATTACCAGCAAAAATTGAACAGAATTTAACGCCAATAAAACTAAAATCAGTAATTTTAGCAAAACTTTATTTAGAAAACATTTCGAAATGCCGAAAAAAAAACGACAAGCCGGAATCTCGAACCGGCAAAAAACCACATACGAACTTTTCGAAAAGGTCCCAATCATACCGCGCTATCTACCTATGGCTGATAAATCTAAGATGTTATATCTACGCCTCCTGGGAACTGTTTAAACTATAATTACGCGCGAAATGATCCAAAACCCAAAAACAAAAAAGTCAAAAAAAGTACAGGTCCTGACTGAACTCAAATTCACGGCTTTTGTCGCCCAGAATCCATCAACCAATTTGAAAAAGCTACTATATGATTTAAGGATTCTAAGCAACAAATTTTTCGCCTGAAATGTCCAAGCGTGAGAACTAATATAAAGAGTGAATCACGTTTTTTTCCGCGTCGTTTGCACTTTGTTATTGGATACTGTAATTTGGCTTCCTTTCATCAAATGAAATTGAAGTGAATTTTAAAATAAATCAAAGGTCAAAACTCGAGCATGAACAATTTTTGGAAAAACTCCTGGAAAACACGAACAGAAATTAAGTGAAAATTTTCTTCGGTCATTGACAAAAAAAAGTCCAATAAGATCACATGAACCAGATGTTCGTTTCAATTGTGGTTAAAACCAATATGATTGACAACTGTCCATATGGTATACCTTAAGCAAAATCAAATTGAAGACTGCAACTACATTTACCAAATAGATGATGAATTATATAAAGTATTACTTTATGCTACATGTATTTTGCAGAACTGACACGGCGCGCACGTAGCTCTTATGCACAAAAATTGGCTATAAAAAACGAGTGCGCTTGTAACCAAAGAACTAGAAAGAAAAACAACGGCACACCAACTTACATGGTAAAGTCTGCTGTGGTAACGCTCTTTTGAGAAGTTGAAAATAGAAATCATTCTCTTTCTGCACTTCTGACTGTTTTCGGAGTCTGAGCTTGTACGTGATGTAACTTTTGAACCCAAAACCAAGGGTTACTACAGGGTATCCAATACTAAAACATGTGAGAGTAAATATTAAGCTCTGCTTTAGAGTCACTGAAAACTTATTTAAATAAAATACGAAAACTGACCTGTGAGCAGCAAATGGTCGACATAGATTCACTCTATGACTCATGTCTTTGGAAATGTCTTTAAGTCTCACAGCCGCTTCTACCCAAACGAACAGGAACCAGAGAACGATTGTTGGTAAACAAACTCCTCTCTCCGTATGCCAAACATATTGCACCCAGACATAAGAGCTTGCTAGAAAGAATATCCAGTCATCTTTGATAGCATATGAACAGATAATATCTGATGTTAAACTGAGACAACTGAAGAACAAGCTAAATGCCTGAAACAGAATATATGATTAAATTTCATTCGGTTGTAATTTTCAAACATCCTTTATAATATAAAATAGGGTTTACCAATCCTTGATATTTGTAGGTGTCATGCACTGACTGTAAGAAGAGCCAGACTGGCCAGAGGTACTCGAACCGGACCCCAAGCATGAAGTCAGCGAGTAAAACACCACCCCAGACGAGGACAAACTTGAGATACAGCAAAGTGCTAAAGGCAAACAAGATATTAATAACCATTTCGGGCTATCAATTTGATGGGGGCGACCTTTTACTAGAAAAAATGAAGCCGTTTAATCTGGGTAAAGACAATGATATCACGGTTTCTCAACAAAGTTTTGTTTGTTGTAACCGCTTCCTTTTCAAATCTTCCACTAACTTTAACTTATACTGATTGAATGATTGCATTGTGGTCTGATAAAAGACAAAGCCCCTTTTGATGGCTTCTTGAACATACCTGTTATAAATTGTTTCTGATTTCTTGGGACATCTTAACGGTCGTCGATTTTTTGCAGTTTCGATTCTTCGCTTAATCATCGTAGATAATTGATCATAGAAAATCTCAAATATATATTTTTAATAATCAACAAAAGGTCAAAGGTGTCTCAGTAACCGAGGTTAGTCGGGAGTCCCTTCATCACGTACTCCAGCCAAAACCCTATGAATTATCTAGATATGGAAGTGATAATGATAAAAAAGGAAAGGATTAGATTAGATGTAATAAAATTCAACTCGATACGGTTTACGTTTCTTCAATAAAAACACGTAACTCGACACCAGTAACACAATTCATTATCTATTCTAAATATAAAATTTCGTCGAAATACATTTCAGCAGGCCAGATCCTTCAGATTAACTCGCTTGTTACTGAGCTAGGCGGTGGCACCTGTCGATAAGATATCGATGTGCAGTTTGAGGCTGCATCGATCTATAATCACTAGTGGACAAAATTATGCGCAAATTTAGGTTTTTATTCTTAAAACGCCTAATTTCAAGGACCATACTGGGCAATATCTACTTCGAAATTAATCAAAATTTCTATAGTGACCGACAGCAAATAATCTGAACTACCCTCTCTGAAAGTCTCACTTTTTAATTATTAAAATTCGAAATAAATATTGTCCATGATGGTCCTTAAAGTTAGGCTTTTAGGGAGTAAAAATCTGAAATTGCGTTTATTTTGTCGACTAGTGTAAATAAGAAAATCAAAAACAACCACGGTAACCGAAATTAATTCGCTAGTCCATTTTACGCATCCATTTCCCATTTCGTGAGGCGTCAAGTTGATGCAAGCGTAAATACAACATCAGAAAACCATTGAAAAAAGTTAGAAAAAGTGTCCGAGAGACAAGATAAACCTCTTGGGGGGAAATGAGCGATCAGTTAAAGTGCTGATAAAATTGAGATGCCTTGATGGGGACATGAACTGCTGTTGATCCGAAGCCTCCGATTAGAGACAAACTCAACGAAGCGCACTTTTTGGCTAATAGCGACTTTTTCGTCTCACAATTGAAAAACCAAAACACATTGGGTGCAACTTTATTTGAAATACCAGCCGCGGCAAAGACATATGCAAGAAAATAATCCAAGTCCAATGCAAGAGACAAAGCCGTCGAAAAAACGAGGAAATATCTCAAAGATCATGGGTTGCTGGCTATGCCTTTTGAAAAGGGGTTGGTTTTCGCATAATGAGGAAACAAACGTATGAACCAAGACTGGAATCTTTGCCGCAATTATTATTATTATTATGAAAGCTTTACAGTAAAGTACTGAAGGGAGTTTAATCCCAGACAGAGAATCACAGTCCTGCGACTAGAGAAGAGTTACAGATGCAAAGGTTGCAATCACAGTTTATCACCCATGTACAAGCATTTTCGGTTGAATAGTAAGAGTTGAAGAACATCCAGAACAATTTTATGAGTCTTTGTTTCAAACCGATGGGATTTAAGTAGTCGACCCATAGAGAAAGGGAGTTAATCATGCGGGTTATTCGATGAAAGGAGTTTTGACGCGACTTCGCGAGTGTAACATTCGCCCGGAAGATACATATCGACGGATAACAAAACTAAGTCTTAAGACGACTGGCTAGCGTCTAAACAGAGCTTTGCATGTTTTTCACCGTCTCTACCAAGCCAGTACTTTTCGGTGGTCTTTTCTAACATCGGGTCGACAAAAACGTTACTGTTCTCCGGCTTCGACCAGAACGCTCAAATTAACTGAATTACATGCAAAAATAGTGAGCTCATGGCTGGGTCTCAGTATCCCCAGACCACGAGGTCATTCCTAAAAACAGGGCTACTACTTATTATATTACTATTGTTTTTGTTCAGTAGATAAAAATCATCATCTCCATCGAAGATGGATCAACCCTTTCCCCCCCAACTCTTAGCACCTCATCCTTGTCAAAACTAATCCAAATATCAATTAAATTCAAGTCGGGACATGACAGGATGCTAAAAGTTCATATGAGTCAATAAAAGTTTTCCGTCCCGAGACCCTTCCGGATTCTTGAATCCGGTGAATCAAGCTCCTTAAGTTCGATTTCACGACAACACGGAAGGCTGGTTTTTTACCCTTCACCGTTGTTCGCAACGGCCTTGCAACTATTGTAGCAGCACAATAGTTGCAACTCAGAACGTTCTCTGCAATCTGCTGCTGTTTTTCTTCAATTTCGACTTCTTCAATTTCGATAAAATTTGAAGAACTTTATCCGAATTCTGCAGAGATTGCATTTTTGACATTCTGGTCGAATGTCACATACTCCCCGGACAGTCCGGTCAATGTCCTCATTGAATCGCGCAATGTTCTAAATGGTTACAGTGTCATCGAACAGAATTTACAAAATGCACGAAATTACTTTTATCTACGTCACATCGACTCACTGCAGAATATAAATGGCATCATACTACATCACTATAGCCTTAAAATTCCTTCATTAATCTGCACATTGAGGATATGACTTAAGAAAAACATTTTTTCTGACTTCCAGTGTCAATGTCCCGATTAGAACTTTTTCTCCTAGATTTAAAAGGTGTTGGCTTGCAGGACAGTCCTGCCAACCAACAAGCTAAAATTATCCTACTATGCTCCTTCCCTTCGGAAATCTTGCTTGTTTATTGTCCTGAATATTAAAACTGAGAAACTTTGTGGTTAGAAAGAACAATGAAACAATCTCCCTCTTCGAGAGATTACTCAAGCCTTCCACATCACCACAAAGTGATCAGTCTTGCTAAGTGATTAAAAACAATCATGCAGGCTGGAATATTTAAATATACTCTTCCCTCAAGCCTTTCTAAATAAATAATAAGTGAGTGTCTCTAAAGCCACTTCAACTAAAATCAAAATGCAAATTTATAAATGCAACAATTTCAAAACTCAATTAAATGTTTCAGTTTTCAATTACAACTTGGTTGCTTGGTTTCTCACTTGAGTTTTTCACACACATAAAACAATTCTGAGTTTTGACTTTTCTTCATCATCCCTTTGTTCTCTTCTTTTTCGTCGTTTAGAAGTTCTAAAACTTCTAAATTCTTCTAATTTTCTTTCTTGCTGCCTCTTGTTTTCTCGACCATTCATCAATGTTCCATTTCTTCCTCCTGTGATACTGACTCCGCACTTTCGGTTTCCGTGTCCTGTAGCACATCTTTGGCTATCCTGACGCTGTTGGAAGCCGTCCTCCAACACTTCTGCTCTTCTACCCTCTGTTTACAGCAAGGTAGGGGATCCACGTTGGATTCTCTGTTTCTGCAGAAACTGTTGTGGAGACACAACGTCACGTTTCTCTCCAAATCTTCTTTCAGCATCTAAGCCCCCTTTCTTTTTCGCCATTACTACTCCGCAAGCCCATGGCGATTTCGAGGGTTATATCATGTCGTATTCAAGCAACATTTCTATTTCCGCTCGGCACGCTTCCGATTTATGTGGCGTCATTCGCCTTGCGCCTTCCCTATGGGGAACGGCGCCCTCTTCTAGTTCGATTTCGTGTTCGACGAAATTACAGCAACCGATGTCCGCCTTATGTTTTGAAAATACCTCGGCGTTCCGATTTAGGAGGTCCCGCAATTTTTCAAAATCTCCCTCACCTATTTTTCCTTTTAAATGTTCTATTTCTGGCAAAACCGGTTTGTCAGAATCTAGTTCATATGACGAGGGGCGTTCCGGAAAATTCGAGCAGCTTGATAAGCCGTCGTCCGTTTCGGATTTCATTGAAAACAATTTATGAATAGATTTTAATTCATTAATTCTCTTTAAGATTTTATCTTTATTTGCATGATAAGGACAGTCTTTCACACTATATTTCTTCAAGTTTTCTGTCTCTTCATAGTCGGTCCTCATCGGCAAGGCGTAGCCAAGCTTCTTTCCACGCTGGATTGAAACCGTGGTGTCCAGTGTGTTCAACAACACACTGACACACAGTCCGTTTCGCGTTACCGAGAAGCTCCGGCCTAAAATCACCGAACTCTGACTATTTGGATTCGGTACTAAGCAAACCTGTTCACTATCACTCAACGAATTTAGATTTCTCATTCTAAAAATTGCTACTACAGCTTGTCCTGGTTGCAATTTTACTTTTCTATCCAAAAAAACTGGTACCTTATTTTCGTCTGTTATTATCCTATTAATTGGTCTCTTAACATACTTTCGGTCCGGGTTTCTAATCCGTATCAGACCGTTGTTCAAATCAATCATCACGTCAAAATTCCTGACAAAATCTCTGCCCAAGATGAATTGGTCGGCATCGTCCAGATTCTCTACCACCAGGAAGCTCATCCAAAGATCCCGTCCTCCCATGTGGAGGACCGTTATTGGTGTTCTTCCGGCTACGTAGATAGCTCCTCGATTGGCTGCAGCCAGTCGGAGATTCGTTGGAATCAGATCTTCCCGCGTGAAGCCCATTCTTTCCCAAGTTTTTATCGGCATCACACTCACTACCGCTCCTGTGTCCAGAAGCCCTGTGACTCCGATTTTTGTTCCGTTGGTGTCGAGCAGATGTGCTGTCACATCTGCTTCATATCCAATGTGTACTGCGTCTTGTTCCATCATGGCGTCATGGCCTATCCTGCGGACCTTGAGTTCCTCTTCTCCCAAATAGATCTGCCCTATTTAGTCATCATCTGTTGTTACATAAGTCCTGGTGTAGATGCTGATCCCATCCACGTTCAGCATCACTTGATACGGCCCATAGACTTCTAGGTAGCGTCCATGAAGTTTCTTCATGCGAGGGCCACCCGTCGTTAGTAGTGCCCTCACAGCCCTAGACTCGGTGCGTGGCTCCATCTGCCTCAGATAGTCTGCATATGTGTCCAAATGCATCAAAGTGAACTCAGACGGTTCACTCAGATTTCTGATTACCTGATGCCCTGCCACCGAGATTATCGACTGTATTTTACTTCCTTGCGGTGCCATACCGAACCTCTGACCAGAGATAACATTAAGTTTCATGCTCAAGCTGCTTGGTGCTTTTGCCTCTTCAACTTCCGTTGCTTCGAAGGCGTTCAATTGCTCCTGTAATTTTTCATTCTCCAGCTCGAGTTTCACCTTTTGTTCAATCTCTTTC